GATCATGATTTTATTTTCCTACACATTAACGATAATAAAAATAAATATAATAAAATTGATTTTATAGCTTTAAATGATTTATTGGGTAAGGAGGCCTGGTTGTCAGTATATCAATAATCAAGAACTGAAAACTGTTATAATAAATTTATATCTAAATTACAAAATTACATAAAAACATGTAGTAAAATTATTATAAAAAATAATAATAAAAGGGTAAAGCTAAAACCTTGGATAGATAACATTGGGATTAATTTAAGCAATTCGACATAGGGACAATTTAAAAAAAGAACTAAAAAAATATTTTCCAATATCCTTTTATGAATATAAAAAATATAGAAATATGCTTAATAATTTAATTAAAAAAAGTAAAAAACGAATACTATAAAAATGAACTTAAAAATTCAAAAAATGATTTTAAAAAAACATGGAATATTGTCAATCAGGTCACCAATAATAATAATAAAACTAAAAAAAGAAATTTATGATATTATTAACTCAAATGAAATAAAATTAGAAATGATAAAGATAAAGCAGACTTTTTTAATGATTTTTTTATAAATGTTGGAGAAAATATCATAAAAAATATTAGTGTCAATGTCAGTTCGGTTCAATGTCAAGAAAATCCTGCCTTAAACTCATTATTTTTAAAACCAGTCACAGAAAATGAATTAATTCAACATATTTCCAAATTTAATAACAATTCAGCCCCTGGTCCTGTTAACATATCTGTTAAAACCATTAAATCTATTCACAAACATATATTATCCCCTTTAAAATACTTGTTTAATTTAATTTTAGAAAGGGGTGTAGTTCCCAAGTCAATAAAGGAGTCAATAGTAACTCCCGTGTCTGGAGATAAAAAACTAACCACCAACTATCGCCCAATATCAGTTATAAGTATCATAGCTAAACTTTTTGAACAATGCTGAAAGTCTCGCCTCATGAATTTTTTGGAAAATAATAAGCTACTTAATAAAAGACAGTACGGATTTAGAAAAGGAATTAGCACTGAAACTGCCATAATTGATTTTTATAAAATTATAATTGATAACACAATAACACAATTTTGAATTTCCATGGTGAAATTATATCCTACGCTGATGATAAGCGTTAGTATTTCTGGGAGATTTATGGGGCGAAGTTTATAAAAATGCTGAGGATGGGTTGGGGTTGGTAAAGATTTGGCTGGATACAAGTCTTCTCAGTCTAAATATAGGTAAATCCAATTTTATTACATTTTCTGCAAACAATTGTTGACCAACCAATTAACAACACTTTAAATCTTTTTTTTTATATATAGGTAGGAGGCATTTACGCACACCGGAGGGCTTGATGTTGCTGCCTCCGGTAGTGTGGGACTCGACAACAATACCCACTAAAACCTCCTCCTCTTGCAGTGAAACCCTACCGGGGACCGCCTTTCGGCATAACTTCCGGCAGGGGGCCACGTTCTTAAAACTTTGGGCTAGCTAGCACCCCAATTGTGCCCTCACGACCGGGTCTTTTTCCCCAATGATGTCTCTGCATAGTTTGTCAATTGCAGCCCATCCCTCTGTGCTGTCCAGCATGATCCTTACCATGTTCTCGGCATTCAGTGTCTCACCTACTGCTCTCTCCGCCTCCATTCTTTCCGCCTCCCACTCCTCGCAGTGGAAGAGAGTGTGTTCGGGGGTTTCCGGCTCGTTACATACCTGGCACCGGCTCGACGCTGTCTTGCCGATCTTCCGTAGGTAGAGATTGAAATGCCCGTGGCCCTTGAGGAATTGCATGGTGCAGTAGCTCAATTCCCCATGCGCTCTCTCTTTCCCCTCCGCAATATGTGGAATCAGCCTCCTGGTCCATGCGCCCTTCGTGCCTTCCTCCCATCTACGCTGCCATACCTCCATAATGTCTTCCAGGTTTCGGGTCTTGTCCATTGTTCCGGCCTTGTGGTTTCTCTTTCTCTTACTTGGAGATCCAGTGGGAGTACTCCCGCCAGCACCTGCAGGGCCTCGGTCGAAACAGTCCTGTTGGACCTCGTTATGCCTATTAGCACTGGTCTCTGGGACTGGTTTAGCCTCTCCCTCACCTTCTTCAGCCTGACCGCCTCAGCCCATACTGGGGCTCCGTAGAGTGCCACCGACTGATGGACGGAAGCGAGTAGCCTTCTCGCCGAGTCCCCCGCGCCACCCATTCTGGGCATGATGCTACGGACACTCTGCGCTGTTGCTTCCGCTTTGCGGCACGTTTCTTCGACGTGCCACACCCACGTTTCGCAACTGTCCAACCATATGCCCAGATACTTGATGTTTGACTCTAGCTCGATGGGCTCTCCCAAGACGTCGATCGTACGTGCTCCCTGTGTCTTGCGTCGGCCGATTAGCAGGGCTGCCTTGGTTTTTTGGGCGGCTATTTCCAGTCCCTTCTCCACCATCCACCGTTGATGGTCGTTATCGCCTGTTCCGCCCTAGCTCTTGCTTCACCCAGGTCCCTGCCGATGGCGACGATGACCAGGTCTTCGGCATAGGCAATCGTTCCACAATCCCGCGGCAAATGCAATCTGAGGACTCCATCGTAGACGATGTTCCACAGTAGGGGGCCCAGGACAGATCCCTGGGGCACCCCGGCCGTCATTGCCCTCGTCCCTCCGCCTATCTCCAGTTCCCGTTCCTGCAGATAGTCCATGATTAGGGCCACGAGGTAGTTTCCAACTTGCCTTCTTTGCAGTTCAGCGACCACCTTCGTCCACCTTATCGTGTTAAACGCGTTGCGGACGTCGATAGCCGCTACTATACAAATCTCCCTGCTCCTGCTCCTCCTGAGGACCTCCTGCACAGCATCGGTGGTAGAGTGTTTTGCACGGAAACCATATTGTTGTTCATGCAACTCCCGACCATTCTGTTCGAGGGACTCGACCAGGCGGGTGTGGATCACCCTCTCGAACACCTTTCCGAGGTTGTCCAGCTAATCGGGCGTGCCCCTCCCTCCTCTTCCGGATTTTTTCCTGCCTTTGGTATCAGGACAACCCTGGCCTTCTTCCACTGCTTCGGGAATGTGGATTTCTCCATCAGGCGGCTATACAAGCAGGCCATATCATCCGCATAATCCAGCGCCGCGATTTTCACGGCCTCAGTGGGGATTCCGTCGGGGCCCGGTGCCTTCTTATTCTTCATCTTGAAGATTGATGTTTCGACCTCGGCTTTGCTGACTGCCTTCCCCGGCTCCCACTCGAATACCGGCTTGTCCCACACCGAGACCGGGTGGACTGGGAACAACTGTTCTGCGATCCTGCTCTTCTGTTCGTTGGAGAGCATTGGGGCCGCAAGCCTGCCTACCCTTTTGCAGACAAGCTGATAAGCCGTGCCCCACACATCGTTCCCAACGTTATCGATTAGCTTCTTATATGAGGCTTTCTTGGCGCGGGTGATTTTCAGCCTTAGGTCCCTCCTCGCTTATGCCAGCGCCTCCACGGCCGATCGATGGTCTGCAAGGTTCTCCTCGCTGGGTACCCGTCTCGCCTTAACCCTCTTTCTGGCCTCCTGTCTACGGCGTCTATTCCTGGTCGCGATCGCCAGCTCCACCTCCATGCACCACCAGTAAACTGGCTTGCGCCGATTCGTTCGGGGTGGGGCCGCTACCTGGCAGGCCTTTCTCAGGGCACTTGTCAAGTTATCTGGGAACAGTTCACCTACGCCAAACAACTCCTCTCCTAAGGCTGCGCGAAACTTCTGCTTTTGCCCATCATTGCTGATGCGCCATCCTATCTGCCGCTGCTCGTTAAGTCCCTCTCCTTCGGTTAGCTCAAACTCGATCGATCGATGGTCGCTGAGTGTTTCTTCGTCAGACACCCTCCAGTTCTGAACCATCTGCCTGCCACGCTCTTTAAACAAGGTTAAGTCGATAACGCTAGTGCGTCCATTGTAATCGTATGTTGGGGTGGAGCCAGCGTTCGCAATTCTCAGGTTCAGACTGGCAGCCCAGTCCCTGACCGTGCGACCCCTATCGTCCTCAACGCCCGAGCCCCAGGAGTAACTTTTGGCGTTAAAGTCACCCCCAACCAGTATCGCTGCATCTGGTCTCTCCATTCTTATCTGGGCATCCATTTCCTCCAGATCTCTTTCGAAGATGTCCCTGCTGTGGTTCGGGGAGAGGTATACGGAGTATAGCGACAGATTTCCAACCTTAGCCCTGGCGAAGGCAGCCCCGCCGCCTTTCTCGTCGCAATATCCGTTGGTAAGGAAGATTGCAGCTGATTGGTTCTCGTTGACAATCAATCCGGCACTCTTGGACGTCACCTGCTTGTTGGGCTCGCTGACCAACGCGGCGCGGGCACCCTTCCTCTTACACCGCTCGTATAGGAGGTCGTGCGCCCGCCTGCACCTATTCATGTTTAATTGGACGATGGTGTGTTGGTCGTTATACCTATGGCCTATTGACACCATTTAGAGAGTGGCTGGATTCGCCTTCAGCTGTTCTCTCTCCTGCTATGATCCAACTAATAACTGGGCATGGCAATTTTGGATTACACCTGCACCGGATCCGTAAAGCACCCACACCGAACTGTGAGTTCTGTGGAGTGTGTGACGATCCACCGCATAGGCTGTTCGATTGCCCGCTGCATAATGAGACCAGAATGGTAGCAGAGACCGTGTTGGCGATTGGCGTAACAAGACCTAATTTCCTAAGGCTGCTCCCCCGTGTCGAGGATACTCTCGATTTGCTAGTCCGATAGATACCAGAGTCCCCCTTTATGTTTGTATATGTCCCATATACATATCGTAGTTTAGGTTAATTTAATGAGTGTTTAGTTTTAGTTAGTACTTTCTGCACACCCGAAGATGGAGAAACCGCAAGGTATGTGCCATCTTCCATCTGCAACTTGTTGCAGAAATGCTAGTATTTGTCCGTTTGTCCGAAAATACAATACTTATGTGCAATACCGTCTTATACCATTTGAATATTCATGAGAGGACTGCTCCTTAAGAGTGGAGGAATTTCAATTTCGGGCCTCTCAATTTCTGGTCCATTGGGGATGCTCCGCAGGTCTTCCGCCGCCATCCTTGCTTCCTCTGCTTCTAGTGACCGACGCGAGGAGTGTCCTCATTCGGCCGCACTTGCCGGACCAGGCCCGGTGCGGCTGCTCGCACAGGGGGCAGTAGGGCTCCTCCGTGCATTTAACGACCGTGTGCCCTGTTTTGCCGCACTTGAGGCAACACTTTGACCGATCCGTCCCGGCGCACCTGCCCGGGCTTCCAGCACTTGTGGCACTTCTCGATGTTGACCCTGGGCCTGGCGCTGGCTGGGGTCAGCCCCATGATGATGCCCCTGTGAGCTAAGATCGTCGCGCTGATCTCCGCGGGAGCCAAAACCGTCGCCGTCTGCTTGCCCTTAAAGCCTCCTCGCAGGTCCCTAACCTCAATGTCTTCGGCAGCTGCCCCGGTTTGCTCGACGATGGCAGCCCTGATATCCGCTTCACCCAGGGCAGCCTCGATGTTCGACATCATCAGAGTGGTCCTCCTCTCGCTCATGAGGGCTTCAACTTTCTCCCCGACATTGCCCTCCGTAATTATTTTGGCGACGTCCTTGGCGCTGCCCTCGCTTAGGCTAATTAGCAGATGCCCGTCCCTTGTCTGATGGACATCTGCCACCCTAAGGTCATGCCCCTTTAACGCCTTCCTCGCGCTGGCCAGGAGTGCCGGGTACTCCTCCCGTTTAGACCCCTTAATCAGAACGGCTTCATGACGATGTATTTTTTTAGGCTTAATGCTGGTTTGCCGCGCCAGTGGGGGACGAGTGATTCCTGCCTGCCTGAGTTGCCGCTTTGGGACGCAGACCCTGGCTAGTATTTCCAGTTTAGCAACCAGGACGCAGGCCGCCATTTTTCTCGCCGTCACTGCCGTAACAGCCGGGGCCGCTAAGGACAGCATTTCTGCACCAATAGCCTTGGCAATCTCCCCCAGCTCGACCATTCCCTGGAACATGGCCTCGGCAGGGTCTTCCGCGTTGGGCCTCGCCACTAGGATCTTCTTTGTCCTCTTAATGGAACCCATCTTTGTGTACGTTTCCAGGATCTGTTCCCCCTCCATGTTGTTGGCCAGATCCGGGAACCGATCTCTGGCCACTGCAAGGATCCCCTCAGCCATATCCTCCATCCCGCAGGGGATGATAAGGCCTACCTCCTCGCTCGTGCTGGTGACTGGGTTTACCTCCACTATCTCCGTGCCCCTGAAGCTATCTGCCGGCCACCCTCTGATCTCCACTGCTCTAAAATGGTCGTAGCTCTGGCTGCCCTCCACTCTGAGCTCCCGCGTGACCATAGGTTTCGGGACCCTACTGCCGTCGATAGCCTTGCCCATGCCGGCTTCTTGGGCTGACATTATGGCCCTGCATAATGCCCCCATCTCCGCGTTTTCCGAGGTTTCCAGCGTGTTCGCGGCTGCGACGATCCTGTCCCAATCCTTGCGGAATGGGTCCTCGCCGCCTGGAGCCGCCGCCTCCCCAGCCGCCTGCGCGTAGCTCATGGGTGCCGCTGCCACCTCCTTCAGAGTCCGGTCAACCTGCTTGAGGGCCTCCATACCTTTAATTTGGAGGCTGAGAGTCCCAGCCTCCCTCTTCAGCGCTTCCGCCTCTTTCTTCATCTCCTTACTCTCCTTCCTGATTTCCTCCCTCTCGATCTTAATTTCCTCTCTCTCCGTATCCAGGGCCTTTTTGAGGTCCTTAACTATCTCCATTTTCTTTGTCTGTTTGGTGAGCTCCTCCTGCTTATGCATAAGGTCTCTACTTCCCTTCCGCAAGTCTTCCTTAATTTTCTCTAATTCCTCGAACTCGGCGGTCAGACTTCTTTCTTTTCTCTTCTTAGTCTGGACGGCCGGCGTGGTTGTCAGGACAACCCCTTAGAGGTTATCCACCTTCTTAAACGCCTTCTCCAGTTCACTCGCCTGTATATCTTTTTTCCTCTTTTTGGATACCATCTCCGTTTCCGTGTCTGGGGACGAGTCTATTTCTATAGTGCCCGCCGCGGCGGCTACACTATTTTGGGGAGGAGTCCTTGCTAAACCCTTTCTGCTGCCCTGGTGTGCCCTTATGAGCAAAAGCTCCTCGGGGGTTAGCCCGTCATCCTTGTTTCCGTCCGGTTTGCCAGGCCTTGTTGTGTCGCCTTTGCTCGTACCAGGCGCCTCTGTTCCAGATGGCGTCTTGCTCTGGGTATGTCCTTCCCCGGATTCCTTGTGGCAGACGCCGACCCAGAAGCCGCCCGTCTCGGGTCAGACGCTTTGGGATTTTCATGTGTGCGTGCGTTTTTTGGTCCGCGAGAGTTATTTCATTTGGCCCCTGCCACCCATATCTGGGAGGCGTTCCCCTATCCGCCACCCGGGGACGCGCCACGATGGAGGAAACGCACAAAACCCCGCACGGATCAAGTAAAATATCTTGGTATCATTTTAGACCAGTATTTAAAGTAAAAAGAACATATAAATTATCTATGTACAAGACTGAGAGGATTTGTATATAAGTTTTATCAAGTTAGGGACATTTTAAATAAGAAACTCAAATTAATAATATACATGGCTTTAGCCGAATCTATTATACGTTATTGCATCTGTGTCTGGGGTGGATTATATGCAAACACGCTTCTGGACTTGGAAACTATACAACATTCTCTTTTAAAAATATTATTTAAGAAAAAAAGGGACTTCCCAACAAACCTTTTGTTTAAGATATCTAAAGTTTTTACTGTTAGGCAGATTTATATATATAATTCCATTATTTGGACCCATATAAATCAGGAAAAAATTGGCCAACTTAATCATAATTATATAACTAGATCACACAATACTAAACATCTTCAAATACCCCAATTTTTAAGTAATGTAACACAAAAAACAATTTTTTACTTTGGACCTAAAATGTACAACATTATTCCTTATGAAATTAAAGCTTTAAAAAATATGTTATGGTTTAAACAAGAGCTTAAGTTGTTTATTAAAGAAAATGAAATTATTGTTGTTTAGGTCTTCCAAATGGTAATTGTTATTATAATTAAATATAAAATGTCCTTTCATTGTTTCTTATAGCTATTTCTCCCTCTCTCTCTCTTTTGCCCAATCTCGATCTCTCTCGCTCTATCTCTCTCGCCCTCTCTCTCGCTCTCTTCCAATTATAATATACATATTGTTTATTTTTGTTATTATTTCTTTATACTTATGCATACATAATATATATTAAGTTAAGAAATACGCAAACAAATGGTTAATTTAGGCGGATTAATACATAAATTGTTAATTATATATTGTATGTTGTTTAAATTGGAAAGAATTGAATTGAAAAAAAAGGGCGATGTCGAACCATTTTACATTCAAATATTAATTTAAATTGCATGAACAACTAACAATACTAAAGATGTTAATTATTTTATTTTTGTATCTTCTTAAAAACAGGATATTGGTATGGGTATTTAAAACAAAAAAGTTGGCAAAAACGCCTAATTATGCACTGGTTTGCAATAATTCGCACTCTGCGAAAATGTGAGTAGAAGCGACAAAAACGCTTAATAACTAAGCTATGGTTAAACGGATTTTAAAAACAAAAAAGTGTTATATAGAGAATTAAAATACCTTTCAAATGAGGTATCACAAGCACCCCCTTTCCATTTGAAATTTTCAAGTTGATACTGCCCTCTTGGCACTTGTTCGGCAAAAAAATTTTATACTGACGTAAAAAAGTAGTAAACACAATATTGTTTACCCTGGTTTTTGTCCGACATCGATATCTTTTTTGGTTCAAAAGTTAACAGGGGGGGGGATTTTAACGCGCTCACTGTATATATATATATATATATATATATATATATATATACAGGGTGGCCGATTTATCTGAAGACATTGAAATATTTCGAAAACTACGCATCGGATCAAAAAAAGTTTTGAATAAAATTTGTTCGCCTGGAAGGGGGCCATCCAATGATACCAAAGTCGACTCCTCACCAGTTCATGTTCCAGGAAATTTCGATATTTGATTCCATTTAAGGTTCCATCAATGAAATAAGGACCAATGAGTTTGTTACCTAAAATTCCACACCAAACGTTAACCGACCAGGGACGTTGATTTTCAACTTGTCGTAACCAGTGGGGATTGTCCACACTCCAATAGTGCATGTTATGCCGATTAACGGAACCATCGTTTGTGAATGTGGACTCATCTGAAAATAGTACATTAGCGAAGAAATTGGGATTTCTTTGTATTTGCTGAACTGCCCATTCACAAAATTCTACTCGCCGATGAAAATCATTGCCATGAAGTTCCTGAGGCAGTGAAACCCGGTATGGGTGATACTTGTGACGATTCAATATTTTCCGAATACTATCTCTGGAAATCCCGAGATCCCGATGTATTTCCTGAGTGCTTACATGAGGGTTATGTGGAACAGCTGCTATCACATTAATTTCATTAGCTTCTCCTGTGACAGTGTTTCTATACCAAAGGTATAAATATGTTTTTATAACATACCTACATATTATGTACATACCTGGACGCATTAGTAAGGTATAAATATTTTTAATTTGTACCAACATAAAAAAGGAATTAAATAATTTAATTTATTTTGAATTCCCTAACAATTCTCGTATACACTAATTATAATTTTTAATGGGAAATCCGAATCTGCAATTTTTCAAGATATTCCCAAAAATAGGGTTTCTTGCGATTACAGCGCCATCTATCAGGAATTTAAAAAAAGGTTTTCCATAAAAGTTACTTATTTTTTTTATGGGAAATCCAAATCTGCAATAAAAAATGGGGGTTCCTATTTAGAATTTTAAAGTTGCCCCCAACCCCACCCAGGGGGTGGTGGTGAGGAGTCGACTTTGGTATCATTGGATGGCCCCCTTCCAGGCGAACAAATTTTATTCAAAACTTTTTTTGATCCGATGCGTAGTTTTCGAAATATTTCAATGTCTTCAGATAAATCGGCCACCATGTATATATATATATACAGGGTGTCTATTTTAAAACGAGCAATGCTCTATAAGTCTGGACCTAAAATAGATATCAAAAATTTCTCAAAACCGTTTCTAGGATACATAGGGGGAACCAGTATGAGCACAAAAATAACCTTCACTAAGCAACCCCTGGAGCTGTAACCACCCCAACTCAATTTTTTTTCAATGGCAACATACCCTTTGTGATACCTTATTGGAAAGCTCTTGAAAAATGCTATTAAACAGTACTAAACTTTTTACTTTTTATTCGTTTAATTAATGAGAAATGCGCGAAATAATTTTTATAATTATTTATTTCAATTTCTCATTATAAATATCAAATTAAAATATTTTGTTGCAAATAAGGTCTTAAAACCATAAATGAAAAACTGGGGAACACAAATTAATTCTAAAAAAAGTTAAATAAACAAAAAAACATAAATAAACACATTGTTCAACAATAATCAAAACACTTTAGCTTTTTAAATTAAATGCAGAAAATAACTCCGAGTCTATTTTTAAATAGTATTTTATTATTTGAACATTTTTGCCACGAAATATCTTGGCATTATTGAATAATTTAAATTCTCAATGGAATGTTTATGTTTTTGGTGGATTTTTTGTATCAGATTATAAAAACTTACAAAAAAGACTGCTAATCATACTGATTACTTTAATATTTTAAATAGTATTATTTATTTTTCAAAATGGTTTACACAACAGCTGAACGTGTTAAAATTATTTTTATTTATGCTTCACAAAATCGTTGTGCTCTACGAACTGCATTTAATGAACTACACCCTGGCAAAAATGTGCGTCATAAATATGTTCAAGAGCTGGTTGAAAAATTTGAAAAAACGGGATCAGTTTGCAATCGAAAAAGGAACCAACCTAGAATACTTAATGAAGCCACCCATATTAAGGTTCTTGGTCAATTTGGTGTAGATGCCACGATATCACTCCGTTCGGCATCTAGGTTAACAGGGATTTGTCCTGAGTCTGTTAGGAAGGTGTTAAAACATCACAAATTCCACCCATACAAAATGGTTATTACACAACAACTTCACGATGAAGATGCAGACAGGCGTTTACAATTTTGTGAAATCATGACCGATAAAATAACAACTGAGATCCGACTACTAAAAAATATTTGCTTCAGCGATGAATGTACTTTTTATCTAAATGGAAATGTTAACAAGCAAAATTGTCGTTATTGTAGCAATGAAATTCCTCATCTATTCAGAGAAAACCATACCCAGTATCCTGAAAAACTTAATGTCTGGGCAGGAATTTTGGGAGATTGTATTATCGGTCCCTTATTTATTGACCAAAATTTAAATGGTAAAATTTATTTTGAAATGTTGGATAAAACAATACAGTCATTAATAATCCATGAACTAGAAAATCAAAGAGGAGAGGATGAGGAACTAGTTTTGGATGAACATGTATTACATTTTCAGCAAGATGGGGCACCACCTCATTATGTAGCAACAGTTAGGACTTGGGTGGATCAGAATTTTCCAGGACAGTGGATCGATAGAAGAGGGCCAATAGAATGGCCTCCCAGATCTCCAGATCTGACTCCGTTAGACTTTTTTTATGGGGTCACTTAAAATCGATGGTCTTCAAAACTCAGCCTCATTCTATTGAAGAACTGCGTCAACGAATAGTTCGAGAATGCCGAGCTATTCCACGACAAACATTTCAAAATGTTCGAAGGAAGTTTGAAAATAGACTTTACTATTGCTTACAAAATA